GGGGTGTTGGGGAGAGGGGGACAAAAAGGAACCGAACTGACTGATGGTCTCCAGAATGGATATGGAGCAAGGACCACGAGGACCTGTTTTATTTAGCCGCGGGGGGAAGGGGAGAGGGAACAAAAAACAAAAACTATGTGGTGGTGGCGGCGGCGGCGGTCCAAGCCACCATTTCAACGGGGCAGGCAGCAGCTTACGCGGGAACAATTTCAAAGAAAGGATGGGAAGTGCTGGCGGTTGAAGCCGCCAGATTCTTCAAAGGACTCCGCTTTTCAGCTAAGCGCCACAAGGCAACCAGGTTTTCGACACAGGTTGATCCAGGGCCTGTACAGGTGGAGAGGCTCAATTCAAAGGCACCTGTTAAAAAAATTAAACCCCCCTATTCAGCCACTTCAGAATGGTTTGGTACACCCCAACTGTGTACCCTTGTTAGAGTCAAACCCTGCACAAAACTCCAGCAAACGAAGGGGTCGCGGCGTTGTGCAATATCCCTCAACAGAGAAGCGGTGTGGTATGACTAGTACAATCCAACTGGCAGTGACACTAGATCTGGTACGCCCCAACTGTGTACCCTTGTTAGAGTCCATACCCTGCACAAAACTCCAGCAAACAAAGGGGTTGCAGCATTGCGCAATATCCCGCCAGCAGAGAAGCGGTGTGGTATGACTACCGTAGTGCCATCCAACAGGCAGTGACACTAGATCTGTCCGATGAGCAGTGCGACATTCTTTTGCAGCTCTGTCTGCTACACAGTTGTTAAAATCTTTCGCACTTCTGTCGGCTACCAAGCCCCATGTTGCTGAATCCTACGCCCAAGATCTGCTAGTACATAACCAGACCTGAAAGATTTGGAATCAGGATGAAATCGCAAGAGTTAAATAACCCTGACCGACCTGAGGCTGGTCCGTTCTATGATGATGCCTCAACAGGCGGTTGCCCCTTCCCCGTCGTCATGTTTCAAGAACAAAGGAGCAGATGTGACGGCTGTAACCAGCGCCGTCCGTAGCTGGCCGCAGGGAAGCCGAGTGACGAAGTGTTTGACGTCAGCGAAGAAGGCAGGCTGCCGATGTTCGAAGGGGAGGGGACCTGAGGGGAGGCACAGGTATTGCCGATGTCACAGCCCCTCATTTGCTGTCCTCTTCTCCCTCCCTCTCTGCTTTCGGTTTACCGGGCAGCTCTGTTTAACGATATATATATCATCACAAACAGAACTGCCCGGTAAACCATAAGCAGAGAGAGAGAGAAGAGGTATGTGTGTATATATATATATATGTATGTATATACCGTCACAAACAGAACTGCCCGGTAAAACCGTAGGCAGAGAGAGAGAAGAGGACAACAAACGAGGGGCTGTGACAAACTGTTTCGTCGGAGTTTCATATCGCCCCAGCCGGGCATGTGGTCCCGGGCCATTCTGGTCGCCTTGTTGCCATGCACAAAAATATAAAAACTTGTTAAACGTTACAAAAACCCTAAAAACTGATCAGTCAATGATTCTATGGGCCTCACTCCACAGCACAACACTCCACATGCATTTTGGATGCTTTCTGAACAAGATGCATTCAGAAAAGTTCGACATTTTATACGTATCGGGTCCATAAAGCAGCCAAATGCATGTAGAGTGTTCTCTAGTGGAGAATATGCCTATCACAATCACCACAGATTGCTTATGAAATTCTGAATCACGCACGCACACAAGGACTATTACTACATTATATAACTATGATTAAAGCCTAAAGGTTGGAAAAAAAAAAAAGAAAAGGGCTGGAATTTCTGAGTGAATACGCATGCGTGGACAATTAACGGATAGTTATGCTGGTAAGATTCGGATGCACCGCGTTCAAAAAGTGTCCAAGTGCAGATTTTGTGTGGATTATCCTCTCTCTCTCTTCTTGTCATTCTTTCACAAAATCGAAGCTCCCTCCAGCTTTTCTCCTTTTCCATTCCATCGCATAAAATATCCAACCCATGCGACCCGCCTAGCACATCACAGGAAAAAAAAAAAAAATGCTTACCTACAACAGGGGTATATGGCCAAAAGGAAGGTCAGATACATCTGCAGTGTAGACCCTTTATTGATAACCTTCTTGTGATTCCCAATTTGACACTCTTCTTGTGGGTAGTTGTTTTTCAGGGGTATGTGGCCAAAAGGAAGGCCAGATACATCTGTCACAGCAATCCCTCACAGAATAGCTTGGCCCTGAGCTGTCCATCAGAAGCAAAACGAGAGTAGAGGAGTATATACGTGAANGGGGGAAAGTTGCATTTGCCTGGTATGAACACACTGAAGAGTTCAAAAAAAAAAAAACGAAAAAGAAGAAAGGAGAAGAAGAGGACACGACTTCAGATTCAGTTCTGAATGATCACCAAGCGACAGCAGAGCACAGATGGTGAGCGCAACATGAAAAGACGTGGACGTATTTCAGTAAAGCAACAAATCGAAAGAAAAGATTATCCAAATTGGGAGGACATACACAGGCCGGGGGCGAGAAAAGGGAGAGTGAAGGACAAAAAGACGGAAAGCATTTTGGACGGTCGTGAAAGGTTGGTGAGAGGCAATGCACCGGAGAAAGCAGAGAAGATCAGATATGGCTGGTGAAGCGACTGCAAGAGGGTTTGCGGGATGACACAGTGCAGCTTATCTAAAGGACAAACATTCTGACATAGAGCGTCCTCGCAGAACGCCACAATTCCGATAGACAGCAATCATCAGGCACTTAAAAAAATGGGGATTAAGTGAAAAAAAAAAAGAAAAAGAGGGGCCGTGTGTGTGTGTGTGTGTGTGTGTGTGTGTGTGTGTGTGTGCAGCCTTGAAGATTATTGCACCAGGCCTATACTGAAAGTGGATCCCTGAAAATGAGAGCAAACTTTATACGAAAAAAATTAGTAAAAATTAAAAAATTATACCAGAAAAAGGAAAAGGTGGGATGCCAATGAGAGACGGACGTCGGACAATGAATCTAGAGTCTAGACACAAATTTATCACCAAGAATCAGTGAATCACCCATAATCCCAAGCAGGAAAAAAAAAAGCCAAGCAGGAAAAAAAGAAAAAAAAGAAAAGAAGGCCAAGGGAAGGGGTTGTCAGAAGTGGACGGAGGCGCTTGACGAGCAGGATTTGTGAGGGGTGGGATGACATCAACAAATTGCTGTATAGAAGTAGACATGACTGTAGATGTTCGACTCACGTGAAAGATATACTACTACCTTCTGGCATTTCTAACACACCACATAATAGCCTCCTCTAGAAGCCCTGTTGCCGCCGCCTCTGCGGATCTCTCTTCCGGCGCACACGTTGCATGTGTCTACCTGCAATCATCATACACCACATGTACCCACATCATGCAGCAAACCGCCTCATTGGCGGAAGAGGAGGACTTCTCACAACAGGTCGACACATAACATGCAAGAGAAGCGTATTACAAAGCTACCAATCACACAGGACAACGTTCTTTGACGACACGTGGTGCGGCACTGGGATCATCAATAAAGCCTTCCCCAAGTACTGAGGCCAAATGGGAGGCTGAAGGTCCTTTTGATACATTAGTGAGAGGACGGAGGGTGGCGTGAGGAGACTAAAGAAAAAAACTTTTAGCAATCTTAATACTCTGTGCATTCACAATGGTTTACATGATGATGTCAGCATCGACTGGCAAGGAGCCGGCGGCGTTTACCCGGAGCAAAGAAACAAGCCAACAACAAAGGCATGAATGGAGATAACACAAAGCAAATAGACTGTGGGCCTGCAGAGAGAGAGAGAGAGAGAGAGAGAGTTAGAGAGAGAGAGAGAGAGGGACAAGGAAGGAAGGTCCTCCATGGCTGCACAGAATAGAAAGCAGCCCCGGCTTCGTCGCAACTGGACTGTCGGGTCGGAGGCTATGGAGAAAGAGAGCAAAGAGCAGGAGAGACTAGGGCAAGGAAGGGAAAGGAGGTGGAGTGATGCTGTAACCGCAGCTGACAGTGGTCACAAGAGAGAGAAACGAAGAACTCTCCCCCGCTTTCACCATCTCCCACCCACTCCCGCTTCTCTCCACTTGTCTCTATCCCGCCCGTTCTATCGTCATACCTTCCTCTTTAATCCCTGACATCACCAAACTTACAGAAAAAATCTCATCCACCTTAGGGCGGCCAACATTCCGGCGCACATGCATGCCCATCTCCCCCATCGCTCAACATACGATGGCGTCTCCACAGTCTTTCTCTGATGTCCTTATCAAGCTGAGGGGTACCATGGATGGCCTCCGTTCAGGTGCCCATTCCCATGGACGATCCCGTTCGCCCTAAGAGGAGGCAACCCAACGGCAATCGGTGGCGCCGTTGCATACAGGGGGGCCATTGGAGGACCGGCGCTTCCAGGTAGGTCCGGGCCACCGACTGCAATCGAACCAACGACAGCAGCAACGCTTTCCGCCTGCCTCTGCTGCTGCAAGGTACGTACTTGGCGGAGGCCTTCCTCGTGTATACGAGCCAGCGTTTCAAGTTCACTTAGGCTGAGGCCCTCGAGCCCTGCCCCATACAGCGGTGCATGCCTAGACATTTCCTCCTGAAGACTTGCCTCCAATGTCTGAATATAGTCCTGATGCGCGTGCAGTTTGGCCTCCATCCCATCGATATATGCCTCGCACCTCATCACCTGCTCCTCCTTCTCCCGTAATCCCCCTTTCGTCTGTCCGACTGCCGCATTCAACCGCCGCACTTCATCCTCGAGGCTTTGTCGCACCTCGTCTCGCGTGATCGTTTCCGTCGCAAATCTCTTCAGTTCCTCGTCGAACCGCTTCCTTGCACTTTCAGCGTTCTTCAGCCGCTCCGCCAAGACGTTCTTCTCTTTAACCACCCTCTGCGACCGCCAAAACCAAAGCATAAACACATCCAGTGTACCAACATGCCTAGCTCAGTTTACGCCCCCAAGAACTGTTCGAATCAAGAAACACACCACTGTTCCTACATCCCTAGCTCAGTTGATCACCAATCAAGAACCACACCAGTGTACCAACATGCCTAGCTCAGTTGTTGTTCCACCTAAGAACTCTTGGAAACACAGACCCTCTGTGTTCAAATCCAAACGACGCTAGATGAATGAAAAAAAAAAGAAAAAAAAGAAAAGAAAAGAAACAGCAGCTCAGTGATGTCATCAACACTTTCCCAACAACCAATCAAGAAACAGCTCAGTGGTGTCATGCAGACTGTCGAACAGCAGTAATTTGGCAAACACTCTCTCAGGGGGTACTCACACTAGGACTTCTCTAGATGTATCTGACTCCAATTACAGCCAGACCTGGATGAATCTGACCGCAATCACGTTCAGAGCTTAGTAGAGAAAATTCCTAGAGTGAGTATGCCCTCAGTGATGTTGTAAACACTTCCCAATCAGCAGTCAAGAAACAGCTCGCCGATATCATAACCCACCTAAACAGCTCGGTGATATCCTACCCCACCTAAACAGCTGGTTGATATCATTACCCCACCTAAAAAGTCAACACCTAAAAGGTCAACACCTAAAAAGTCAACACCTAAAAAGTCAACAGCTGGTTGGACAGGGATTTGCCATGAGTCAACAACTTCAGCCAGAGATCGAAATTTGCACTTCACAAAACACTGGCGGAAATCATTACTGAAAAGCACAGGTGAGCATTGTTTCATTTACATTCACCCACCTGATAGCACATCCGACTTCGCAAAACGAGTCAAAATCATTATTGAAAAAATCGGACGTTGCCATTTTTTCGTTTCACCTTCATGCACACATGACCCGCTGCGACTTTTCTTACGCTGCGACTTTTTTTATCGTTTTTTTCTAGGCTACCAGAGTGGCCCGGGGTCACTTGCCCGGCCGGGCCAAAAAAACAAACAAACAAACAAACAAAAAATATATATACATATTTTATTATTTTATTTTAAATTTGGTAAATAATTTCGATATGACCCTGAGGCAAAGTTGTTCAGTTTATTTTTCAGCATAACATAGTTTTTGTTCGGATTTTTTTTTAGTTTCTTTTTTTTTTTTTTTTTTGCTGGGACCTTTCTCTGGTCCGTGCACGGGCTGGCCACCCGGGACCCGGGCGGCCTGGCTTGTAGCCTAGGTTTTTCTTTTTTTTTTCTTTTTTTAATCCTTGCGCAGGGACCATGCTAATCTTCCTTCTCTGTATCGTTCCAATTTTAACAGATGTCCCTCCCGAAGGACATCGTTTCTACCACCCTAACCCAATCACCCAATCATATTTGTCTTTGCCTCCCTTGCACCTTACCCACCCAATCGTCTTTCGGAATTTCTCACCTTTTTTGAACCTGGCCTGATACCTCGAAAAAACCCGCCCGCACCCCAGACCCGCTTGCACTCGTGATCCCACCCGAACCCGCCTGCACCCTGGACACCAATACCTTTCCCAGTGTTGGGAAAAGGTAATTAGTATATTTTTACTAATTTACTATTTATTTTTGTACTAATTTACTATTTAGCCTTTACCACATATTTCAGGGGCCGGGCCAAACAGCGCCCGCTGCGATACGAGGGAAAGGTAGTGGTGGTGGTTTAAGCTCTATCCCCCCCCCCCCACACACACCCGTCGCAATACCTTCGACTATTCACTGGTGGTGTACAGGCGGTGGTCATAAATTTGCATTCACACCATGAAATTACAGTACGATATTATGGGTTGGGGGTCGGGTGACGCAAGCCTGGGTCTGTGGGTCGGGCGACGTAAGCCAAGGTGTAACCCACCTGATACCGACTGAGACCCCAGACCCCAATGATTGGCTTGCCCGTCGCCCACTCGGTGAATGGCCCAAGCCAAAGCCTCACCCCGCCATCACACACTCCGCGGGTCACCCAGGCCAAAGCCTCAGGCAGCCAGACCGTGTAGACCCGGTTGTGCCCCAACGAGACTATCTCACCCAGACCCACACCTGACCCATCGCCTCAAGAGCCGGGTGGGTGCAAGTGGGCGTGGGTGTGGGCACCTGTTGCTCACAATGAAAAGTGGGTCTGGAAGAGAGTCCTGAGAAGCACCAACCAGACTTACTAGAAGCCTCTCACACAAAGCTAATAAGGATCCACAATGTCCTTTTTTTTTTTTTGCCTTTTGCAAAATGTTGAATTTTTTTTTCTTGTTTTTTTTCAAAAAGATCTGAAACATGTTTCAACTTTCAAAGTTTTAACTTTTAACCCACCACCACACAGATATGCGCTGCTCCTCTCACGATCCGAACCTCTTTCCTTCTTTTTCTCCCAATAAATGACGATAATCGACATGCACTCCAAAAAGTATAAATGACCAATACTGCTTCATCAGCATGCCATCGCAGAATGCAACTACGATCTCAAGTCAAGTAAAAGAGGAGCAAGAGAATCCACTTCAATAAGCTCAATTCAGTCACTAGACTCAGTACTCTACTAGTTCAGCGCCTCAGTAGATTTTTGAGTGACAAACACTTCCACGAAACGTTACCTACCACCTACCCCCCTACAAGAAAAACCATCATAAAGGGTATATCAGGCCTGCATATTAGAGAAGAATGACAATCTATGCGAGGGAATTGCCTTTTTCGCAAGCATTTAGGTGGTTGCCGAAAACAACTTCGAACCACCAATACTTGGTCCATTGTTTTTTGTTTTACCCACTCGGGGGGTGACTCGGCCACGAATGCCCCCGCACGTTCAGTTCAGCACCTCGGATTACTGGAGCAAAATGGCTGGCAGTGCCAGCCGAAAAAGGAGGCCAGCGCCGCTTCGGTTTCCCTTGGCGCGAAGAGCACTTACACGGTTGGAGAAAAAGTTAAAAAAAACAAATTGCCCAAAGGTACTGACGGTTTAACATCCACATCCACATCCTAACGGCACATATCAGAGGATAATAATAACCAGTAGTATTCTGCAAATTATCCAATCTTATATTTAACATGCAAAATAGACGTTACGCCACCTAATGCTGTTAACTATGCTGTCCGAATCAGATTGCGCTCACATATTCCAGCAGCTTGACAAGGCAACACGTTGGTATGCCCATGAACTGTGTGTTTGAACTTTGAAATACAGACCTCAGTTTTCCTAATGAGGATGCACATGTTCTCCTAATGAGGATGCACATGTTTTCCTAATGAGGATGCACATGTTTTCCTGATGAGGATGCACATGTTTTCCTGATGAGGATGCACATGTTTTCCTGATGAGGATGGACATGTTTTCCTGATCAGGATGCAAAGGGAAGGCGAAGCAAGTTGTATGGCGCTCAGGTGCTGCAGGGGTGAATACAGTCAGGATGACAAGGCATCTCCGTACGCAGGAGGAATGCAGCCGTAGCTGTTGATAGGGAAGTCGTGCTGGCGGTAAGCCTACCAGTCCCGTTGGACTCGGACAGATAAAACAACTCTGAAATTATGAATTTAGTAAATTTACCTGGGGCTGGTCAGTTTGAACTTTGAAAATTGAAACAATGATATATCACCCTAGGCTTCATTTCCGTGCGCACGGGTGCCCCCGGCACACACGGATCCTTGCACGGCCGCACGCCCGTGCGGGTCCCCCGTACGGGCCCCGTGCGGCCCCAGCGGTGTTAAGAAAAACAATTGCAAAGTTTTTTTCTTCGCCTTCTTCTTTTTCTCCTCCCTTGTCGTCTACCTGCTTCTTGCCCTCCCACGATCTCCTTCGTCCCTCCCGCTCCTGCCTACTTCCCCTGCCACCACCTCCTTCGTCCCTCCCACAACCTCCTACTTCCACTCCCGCCATCTCCCTCGTCGCTCCCACCATCCTCCACCTCTCTCTCCCCAGTTCGTCCCTGCTCTTCCGCCATCCTCCACCTCCCTCACCCCACTTTGTTCCTGCTGGTCCGCCATCTTCCACCTCTTTTTCCTCGTCTTCCTCCTACTTCCCTCCGCCATATTGAACCTCCATCCCGCCTTCTCCCACCTACCTTCCGCCACCTCCCACTTCCTCTCCCACCATTTACCACCTCCATCCTTCCGTCTCCCACCTATTTCCCGCTACATCCCACTTCCCCTCTCGACATCTCCCACGTCTCGCGCGCCATCCATCGCCTCCCTACTGCCACTTTGGTCCTTTTCTTCTGCTATCTTCTTCCTCCCTCCTCCCGTCCTCTGCATCCCTCCCGCCATGTGTGGAAAAGGCGGATTCGGGGGCTTCTCTGCATGCGCAGCAGGCCCCGATCACCACCTTTTCTTATTTTTTTAATTAAAAAAAAATACCTCGCATGGGTGACCCGTGCAGCCCCCCGGCCGTGTAGGCTGAACAGGTGCACGGCCATGCCGGCCCGGCCGGGCGGCTCAGGAAGCCTAGATATCAACGCTGTCACGCTTTACACCACCAGTCCACGGCCCCGGGCAACTTGAGAAAACGAACGGCGCACTCTTAAAACTTTGGAGGCTCCATCCGGGCTACCAGACCACAATGGCTGGCGGCGCCAGCCAAAAACGAAAAGAAGTGCGCTGTTGGCGGGTCAACAAACCTTGGCGCACTGTGCAGGTCCACCACCCGACCGTGTACGGGGGTCCCTTGATAACAAAAAGAAGTTGGGACATAACCCTCGGGCGGTATTTCATAAGAAGGGTGGCATAACTCTCAGACTGCTAGACGCTGTACAAGACTGTTGTGCACGTAAGAATCCAAGTGCAAAAGGTAGGGAGGGCAAATGGGGCAAGAACCGGGCAAGTTATTTTTCCTACGGTCACTTTACGATTATATATACGAGTTGGGGAAGGAAGGGACTACAAACCTTAAGCTCATCTCGTTTGCGGTTCTTAATCTGGTTCAACTGGTTTTCAGCCTCCCGTAACCGATCCTGTAGCATTCGCTTATCCTGCACAAGCTTTCCAACCTCCTCGTCCCTCTCCGCTCTCGCCCACTCAAGTTGATTGTCCATCTCACGCACTCTGTCCTGCAGTTCCTTCTTCTCACGCGTGAGCTTCTCAATCTCCGCTCGCGCCTCTCCCTGCACAAAGCCAACAAACGACGGAGAGATGAGAAACACAGCACACACACAACCAAATTCACTCACCGCATGACCGTGCCCGCTAATAAACGCACATCGAAGTTCAAACATGATTTGCCTCTGTGAGACTTCAGACTGCATTTCATTCATGGTGCAGTGGCCGCTGAGAGAGCAAATCGCCTCAATACTCCATGTCTCCTCAGAGAGGATGATCGTGTCCTGCGCATCAACAAGTTCAGCTAAAGGTTCAAGCTGTACAAATGGGCACTACACGCGCGCTCGCGCGCGCGCACACACACACACACACACACACACACACACACACACACACGGGCAGACAGGAAAAGTGCGCCGTTTACAAAAGCAAACCAATGTTAAACCAAGCAAACAGATGTTAATGCAGAACTACGCTGTCAATGCACCTTCACATGTTCATCAACAAGTTCAGCTAAAGGTTCAAGCTGTACCAATGGGCACTGCACACGCACTCGCGCGCGCGCACACACACACACACACACACACACACACAGAGAAGGGGGGG